GGACCCCCTTCTACCCCCCGAATAGCTGCTCCCCACAGTGAGGGAGGGCTTGATCAGTCCCCTCATCACTAGTGAAGATTGCCAAAGCAGGAAGGCCTGTTGTACGCACCCCTTGGGGGGCTCTTCTTACTGTTCGGGTTGTGTTTGGGGAGCCCCACGTTTAGTGATCAGCCTTCTTAAGCTGGAGCATCTTCTCAACAGTGGCACCTCCATGTTTATCATGAAAGATTAAATGCATCCTGTTAAAACGTAAATTTGGTTTTAGTCACTTAATCCTTCCCTGGAGTCAGATTCCTGGAGCCCTGGAGTGCTCTGGAAGAATGGACCCTTCCAAACAGACAAAATAAGAATACTATTGGGGATTAAGACTCCTTTCTTTCCTAAGATAAAAGGTGGAAGAAAAGGTCCATCTGGTTTGGACTGAAGGTGGCAAAAGCAATTAGCTTCCTTTCTCATTCACCACTGTTGCTTAGTAAGATGAGGGCTCATCTTCCTGTTTGTACACACTGGTCTGTGGTTTGGCCAGACAAGTGTGGGAGAAATTTTCAGCACAGAATACATCCCCACCTGCAGCTTTTCTCTGGCTGGTACAACCAAGAAAGAGCCAGAATCTGGACCTCCTTGGTTCAATGCTTTTCTGAAAAATGTGCTTCTTGCAGCTCGTGATCCTGCAGCCTCCAGGAATTCATCTGGCAAGATGACGGTCTTTGATGGCAAGAACCCTGGGGTCACAATGGTGCCCAGTGCTCTGGGGAAATGGTGTGTCAATTCCATTTGCTTTAATTCAACAACTATCAGAAAGACGTTGGTAGATTAGACATTAGCTATCAGTGTTAGAAAGTCCTGCAGAGGTCATGATCTCCAATTCCTTCCCTATGAATTATCCCCTGTATATCTCCCCAAAACGACAGCCCAGTTTCTCTGCAAGTACCACCAATGACACCAGTTGACTACTACCCAAGACAAGTTATTCCAAGGTTGGGCAGAAAATCTTAACTCCTAATGAGCCGAAGTGGAACCACTTTTCCCACTGGCCTTAGTTCTGGCCTCTGGAAAGACATGACCCTTTAGGTACTGGTATTTGAAGAAAAGTCTCATATCCTACTTCTCAGTGTTAAATCTCCAAGCTTGTATTAGACAGGGCTGGGTTATACTGCAGTAACAAATATACCCCCAAATCACATTGCCTTAAAACAATAAAAGTTTATCTCCTGTTCATGCAAAGTCCGACGAGCAGCTACTTTCTGGCAAGTCTTTTTCCCAAGTGACGGCAGTGATTCAGGATTTGCTCATCAAGAGGGTCCATCATCTCGGGCTCTTCCCCTTCCATCCACAGAGGCAGGGGAAGCAGCACAAAAAGAATCTCACAGGGGGCTTATGGCCAAGTCTGGGAGTAGTTGGTATCCCTGCTACTCACATTCTATTGGCCAGATCCCAGTCACGTGGCCCCAACCTAACTACAAGGGAGGCTGGGAAATGTAGCTTTCCTATGTATGCAGGAAGAGGAAGCAGAATTAGTGAGCATCCAGCCAGCCTCTGACATACAGATCTTCAAGCCGCCTCCACTTAGGGTTTGAGCAACGCCCACTTCTTCAATTGTGGTGCTTGGATCTGAAGTGAGACAGTCTGTCCAGCCTGTGCTGGGGAGAAAGGGACCATTTACCTCACTGTGCTCCTACTGGCGTAATGGCCTTTCTGGCAAGCACATCACATCACTGACATATACTGAGTTTATGTGAATTGCTGTTAAGCCACACTTCCGTCCTGCCTAGAGCAGTGGTCTTTTGAATCTGAGAGTTACTCTGTAGAGCCAGTGGAACCCACATGGAATGGGCAGAAAGTAGTAGAATGCAGGGCGCTGGCGGTCAGCAGGGCCTGTGCAATGAGAGGCAGGAAATGACCTCAGAGGATTGCCTTGCCCAGCTGAGCGATGAGGGGGGCACTTGGCCAGAGGATAGCCGGGGGCTAAGGAGGCCTGACCCCTTTCCTGGCTCACTTCACTTCTAATCCCACCTGCAGGGTCTGTGGGGCATGTGCACCTTGATGTGCCCAAGGTCTCCAGCCTGCCCTTGAACACCCACAGAGTATCCCAGGTACTGCTTACCAGGATTCTCTCTCAGTATTCCTAGAAATGCCCAGGAATGCTCACACGCCTCAGGAATCCATCCTGGTGGATACCAGAGCCCATCTCTCACCCTGGGCCTCCCCACTATTCCTGTAGGTCACCTCTTGTCCCCCTGTAACCAGCTTCTCGAGGTCAGAGCCATGCCTACCTACCATGCTGCCTCAAATGTGCACACAGGCCTTCCCCAAAGGACAGCCAAGACTAGAGTGAACTTGAGCAAAACTTTACTAAAGGCCTAAGCGGGAATCATATTGTAGACAGAAAAACATAAAACTGGATCCTAGAGCTCAGAGCTCCAGTGGTCCCTGGGCTGGATCCTGCTAAGGGATCTTCTCCTGGCCCTTTCTTGCACCTTAGCCCCTGCCGCAGGGCCACAGGCCTGTCTCTCCCTGCAGGGGGACCTTTGAATGCTTTGCTCCAGAACTAGGACCTGTACTCTCAGCTTTCTTTGGGCTCCACCCAGGTCTTAGCCTCTTTCCCAAATGACTTAAATCTCTCCCCATAAACTTCTGTCCACAGGGAAGAGAACCTATTACAGTTTATCTTCAGTAACTGAAGCCTGTTACAGTCAGGCTTCAAGCTTCTTCATGCCAGAATAGAATTCTGCTATTACTACTGCAAAACCAAAGGCCCATTAGTGTGTATTCCCCAGAAATATGAGTCAGAAAAGTCCTGGGAGCCTTAGCAGATGGTGTTTCATCTCTCTCTAGCCATCAAGATTTCAGCAATGCCAGGATGCACTCTCAATCAGAGGCCCCCGTTACACGGAGCTCTGCAGACCCAAGTCAGGGACACAAACTGTAACTGGCGGAGACCTGGTCAGTGAGGCTTAGAGCTGAGGTGGGTTCACGGATCTGTGAGAGGCCACAAATGGAGAAGGAGGTGAGCACATTACAGTGGCCCTGATGCCACACCAGCAGCAGCACAGACACGTAGGTGGGGACTCCCCACCAGAATGACAAAGGGATGTCAGGACAGCACCCACCCCAGCTACATCTGGCCAAAGGCTTCACCACACCGTGTGTAAGGAGAATTGGAAGTTAACCCCAGATCATTGAACTACACACTTAGGTTTTGCTGTTGAGTGTACAATTTAATTTCTATAGTACGTGTTCCACGCTTTACAACGTATGCCCCTAAAAGAATCAAACTTGACATGCTTAAGGAAATAAAACAGGCACAATAAACATTTGGGGCCAGAGCTGGGAAGCAGGACTACTATTTCTTTTCTTTTCCTTTTTTTGCGGTACGCGGGCCTCTCACTGTTGTGGCCTCTCCCGTTGCGGAGCACAGGCTCCGGACGCGCAGGCTCAGCGGCCGTGGCTCACGGGCCCAGCCGCTCCGTGGCATGTGGGATCCTCCCGGACCGGGGCACGAACCCGTGTCCCCTGCCTCTTCTCAACCGCTGCACCACCAGGGAAGCCCATGGACTACTATTTCTGAACTCAGGTCCAGCTTCTCATTGCTCAAAAATCAATACTCGAGAGACAAGTGTTGGTAGAAATGGAAAACGTTGCTTTTAATCAGAAAGCCTGCAATCTGGGGAGAAGGTGGACTAGTGTCCCCAAAACCAGCACCAAAGATTCTGCTTGGCCTTGAAAGTTTTTAAAGGGAAAAGGGAAAGTCATCTCAGTTAATCATTGAGATAGGGGATCAAACTCATTGACATCTCCCACTGCGTGAAAGGCTCGCTGACTACTAGTCATCTTTCTTTAGATGCTACCTCGTTCACATAGTTTGTTCTTGAGATCACTGAAGGGGAAGCTAGAGAAGAGATCTGGTCGTCTGTTAATTATTCTTCATTTTTACTTCTTTGATCTACAGAAAGAACCAATATCTTGGGCATGGTATTGTGTGAGCAAAAGATTTGAAAGGTGTGCTTGGGCCAGAGATGAGTGGAGCAAGGGGGTGCCTGGTTTAAGGTTAGTTACAATATAATTTTGCTAACGTGACAAGACAAAAGCTCTGTCCTGCCAAAAGCTGCTTACATTACCCCATCTAGATGATCCAGCACAAGATACTGTACTGGTTCAGTACGTGAATGTAACGGGACGTGGTCAGCGATTCTGCTTCGGATTTTGTCGGGGAATGTACAGTGGGAAGTTGTGAAGGAGATAAGGGCAAACCGATGAATTGTCCAAGAGGACTCCGTGAGTGATCTAAGCCCCGGAAGGTCCTGACCCACCCCCGGGCTCTGGGAATGTGGCTGCCCTTCTATGCAAGGAGGGCAGAGTCTGGCTCTGGAGTCGGGGGTGAGCAGATGGGAAGGAGGTGGGAGAAGTGTCAGGCTCTGCGGCGGGGGGATCAGGATGTAAGGGGGTAAGGGAGGGGGAGGGGCACAGGGGAAGTGATGGATGGAGATAAATCTTTTGCCTAAATAAACAGAATGTTGTTTGAAAAAGAGAGCATTTCGAAGGTATAAATATTTTGTTGGTGGTGGTGATGAGTAAACCTTTAGTGAAGCCCCAGAGCTTCGTAATATACACTACACATTTGTACATTTTGCTGTTTCTTAATTAGCCTGGGGGGTTATTCAGGACCCTCTGTGTCTGCCTGGAAGTTCATTGCTCACTGGCGTCCCCATTAGTGATTGGTCAGAAGACTCTCAGAGCAGACTGCGTGGGTGGCCTGAAGAAGCCAGGGTGAGGAGGTTGAAATCAATGCCTCCTGGCACTTAGGAATAAAAGCCACAACTGGGGACCCCAGAGGACTGTTTTACTTGGTCCACATCACCTGCATTACCCGCCGCCCCCAACCCCGACCCAGGAGGTGGGCACTCCGTGACCCAGGCCAGTGTGGAGCACGTTGCTCACCTAGGGCCAGTATTTATCTGCAAGGCTTTTGTAGAAGAAAGTCGGGGCCCTCAGGGAACTCCCTAGATCCGTCTAGTACGCACCCCCCATGCCTGTAATGCGCATGGTCGCCCTTGCGCCATGGTGACGTCTACCAGCTTCTGGATCATCTGGGCGTGAGTGCCATGGAAGGGCAGCCTGTCCACCTCCATGCCTAGGGTGCCCGAGACTCCGCTCCAGACTCCATGCTGCACCAGGATGCCCAACATTTTTTCTTCCTGGAAAGAAATGGGGCAGAGATAGAAGCAGTGGAGGGGGAGGAAAGAGAAAGAAATACATACATTTATAAGTGGAAAAAGAACGTTTGACTTGACACAGTCTCTTTTTTAAAAATTAAATGTTGTTTAAAAATACTAACTCCACTGGAAGACTCATAGTGAAAAGTAACAGTGTCCTACATCACACCTCATGGGCTCCCCAATCCACTCCCCAGAAGCTGCTACTTTGAACAGTTTGGGCTGTTTCTTCATGTAACTGTATAATATGATTTTTATGGAAATCTGCATTTTCTTAACAGACGCTAAAGATTCACTTCTGCAGGGGCAGCTTGGCTACTTCTTGCCAACCTAGCCCTGCCCAGCTCTGCATTATCTGCCAATGGCCTTTGTGCCAAGAAGGCCCCTGTTCCTCCTGAGAGTTCCTCCTCACTATTAGCCTCTGTTAGCCCTGCTTCAGTCACCTTCTAGACTTTACCCGGTGCGGTTGTGGGAGAATCTGGAGGGAGCAGAGCCACGGAGAAAATGCAACCGCATCCTGGGTCCAGCAGGCAGAGTGGTTTAGAATCAGACAGATCTGACTTGGGTCTTTCCTGGCAGGTGTGTTAAACCTCTCTGTGCCTCAGTGTCCCCATCTGTATAATGGGGAGGTGGATGATAATAACAATGCCTCCTTAGAAGGTTGTTGTGAGGATTAAATGAGAAAATGCAGGACTTCCCTGGTGGTCCAGTGGGTAAGGCTCCGTGCTCCCAATGCAGAGGGCCTGGGTTCAATCCCAGAACTGGATCCTGCATGCATGCTGCAACTAAGAGTTCACATGCCACAACTAAGATGTCCACGTGCCGCAACTCAGAAGACTACATGCCGCAACTAAGAGTCTGCACGACGCAACTAAAGATCCCGCATGCCGCAACTAAGACACGGTGCGGCCAAAGTTAATTAATTAATTTAAAAAAAGAGAGAAAATGCAAGTAAAGCACCTAGCACGGTCCTTGGCACACAGTAGGTGCTCATGAAATGAGGTGGATTATTATTGGCAGGGCTGGGTCCCCTGGTCTTTAGCCCAGAGCTTTCTTCCTTTGACTTGTTGATTTTTTTTAAAAAGTGATCTGATTTGCTTTCTTCCATTTCCCTCCAAAAACAAGGTGCCAAAGAACCACTTGTCTAAGCCACTAACGTGTCTGTCCCTTGTTGAGCAGTTCAGGTCTCCCTGAGGAAGGTGGGTCTTAGGTGAAGACACAGGAGAGAAGATGGTGCCTGAGGGGCAGAAGTCAAGCACAACCTCCTCCTTCTCCTCTACAGACAAAGGAAGGAGACAAAAGGATCTAGAGCAGGTGGATCACGACAGACCAGAGGAAGGTTCTCATCTTCCTGCTCAGGCATTTGCTCATTCATTCCATCACCCATCAAAGTTTTATTGAGCACCTGCTTTGTGCCAGGACCTGAACCAGGGATACAGTGGTGAATGTGACGTGGTCCCTGCCCCCCACACTCCCGGGGGCGTCACATTCTAGACGACTGATCAGGCAGGCACAGTCCATGGGGATCAGGGCACAGAGCAGGGGCCCCCAACCCCATTTATTGAAGTGGCTCAAGAAAGACTTCCTGGGGGAGGGGCAACTAGGACCACAGGTGACAAGAGCAGGAGCGAGCCGAGCCAGGGGCTGTGGGGAGCACTCACTGAAAACTTTTCAGAACAAGGGAGAAAGTGTTGGCAAATATCACCTAGGACCTGTCTCTACTCGCACCTGGCCTGAGAACCTGTATTTCCACTCTTCCCTGGGGCCCAAGGTAGGAGGGAGGCCCGGAGCATTTCCAGGCAAGGCCTTTGTCCAAGAGTCCCTTCCCAGGGGTACCCAGCCCAGAATGGCATCTTCCGTCAATTGTCTGGACTTTATTCTCCCAGTTTTCTTCTCCATTGGGACATATCCTCTCTTTGTGGGGCAAGGCTCCTGGGACCACAGGGCCATTTCCCCCTAGCACACTGCCTGCTCCCACCATTCACATCCTTCTGGGTCCCAGCAGGGCCCTGGGGGTCCTCAGGGTGCACGAGGTCAGTCAACAGCTTAGGAACTGGCTGGCACTCAGCGCCCAAGAGCCACAGGGACCAGCTGGGCCAACGGTGACTGCCTGCAAATTCCCAGGAATCCCTAAACGACCAGACCATCTTCAAGGAGGCCCCACCAAGAGGAGGTGGTGGGGCGGGGAGGAGGACTGACCGGGGAGTGGCTGGAGACACAGGGCCTGGGGGCTGCCACACCAGTCCAGGCCGAGACAGTGGGGCAGGAGGAGAGAGGCAGGGGACTGAAGTGGGCAGAGGGGGCAGGGCCTGGGGCCTAGTTCATTGTGGATGCGGAAGGGAGCCCCAGGATGACTTCTGGGTGTCAAGGCTGAGTGTGTGGGTGGTCACTATTGATTCATGCTTGGCGCATAATGGGCTGATTTTCAGGCGACGCTGCTGTTCAGAGTGGGAGACAGTGGGAGAAAGGGGCCTCCCGGGAAGTTGGAACTGCTCTGCACTGTGACCCTGGTGGTGGCTGCATGGGTGTGTACGTGTGTAAAACTTCACCCACTGTACACTGAAGCTTATGTGCTTTACTCTGCTAGCGATACCTCAATGTAAAAAATATAAAGAAAGTGGAGTGGGGTGAAAGTGCTGGAAGAGAATGGTAGCCAGGATGAGGCCAGAAGTCATGTTCCTGCCTCTCTGTATCATCCATCCAACTATTATCCATTGATCTATCAGGCCATTCATTCATCCATCCAGCTAGCCAGCCTACCAGCAGTCTGTCCATCCATCCATCCATCCATCCATCCATCCATCCATCCATCCATCCATCCTTAGTCCCTCCTGTAAGGTGTCATCAATCAGCTCTTGGCTCCTGATAAGCTCTGGGAAACGTCCTCCAACAATTTGTTTTGCCCTCAAGTAAAACCCCTGGGGCACAGCCAAGGGCCAGAGTGGGCAGGGTGTGCCCTGGATGTTGGTGGCCACCTTCCCTGGGCTCCTCAACATGGTGCCCACTCCTGCTACAGTCATGATCACATCCGCTGAATATGGAAGGCCCTTCTTATAAGCAACACACAGAACAGGGTTGAGGGACATTCCTCCGCTCCTAACCAGCCAAACTTCACCAAAACTCAGGCCACAGTTCTGTCCGGCATCTCTTGATGACCCAGGGGTCTCCATGGAGTGACCCAGTGAACTCCAGTAGGAAGACTCTAGTTATCCCCTGCACAACGCACTGCTTCGTGTCTCTGCACCTTCACTTCTGTGAGTCCTGCTGTCTGGAAGGTCCTTCCCACCCTTTCTCACCTGGCTCCTTATATCCTACTCGCCCTCCAAGACCCAGTTCAGTGCCACCTCTTCCAGGCAGCCTTCCTTGAGCTCTCTGAATGAGCCAAGCACCTGTTCTCTGTGTCCCCACAAGCAGTGCTCACAGTTCTAGCCCAGCTCCTGAAATTACCCCCCCGCTGCCCCCGTGGACCCTGGGTTCTTTACCCCTCATTATCTCCCAGAACAAGGCTGGGCCTGGCCCAGAGGAGGGGCTATACAAAAATGTGTTTGTAATTTTGGTTTAATGATGTTCCCTTTTATTTTCTTTATAAGAGTGGTACATTGTTAATATATTTATGAAGACTGGGTGGAAATGTGGAAGGAGAATTTCCATCCCCAGAGGGTAAGCGTGGGGCTGCGTGAACTTGTTTGGCTGGGTTCAGTCTTTTGTGTCTGTATGAATCAGGAATCATGTGTGAGGCGGCCTTCTGAGTGTTTTTTTCCAATTCAGATCCAGGAAGTGTAAAGAAAGCATAGAAGGCTCTCTGGGCCCCTTTAGGGCAGACCATTTACCCTGAAAATGTCACTTTAGCTGCACGACTCCCCCTTTCCCCTCCTCTCCTGCACCCTGGCATTGCCGGAAACTAGGAAACTACTGAGCCACATCAGGAAGAGCTCAGAGTGTGGAGTCAGAGAGCCTAGACTCAGTTCTGCCTCTTAGCTGTGTGGCTTTGGGCAAGCCACCTTCCCTCTCAGGGCCTCAGCCCCCTCCTCTGTAAAGTGGGGATAACAAACCAATCCGGGGAGGTGTTGGAGAGAAATGGGGGCGGTGCAGGAGGGAGACAGACACAGAGGCAGAAGGAAAAAGGGAGCAGAAAGGGTGCAAGACAATGTAAAAGAAGGACAGGAAGGAGGCAGGGAGGGGCTCTGGATGCAGATGCTTCGCACAAGCGAGGGGCCCCAGGACCTCAGCTGCTGGCTGGCTGGGGGACCTGCAACAGCACCAGCCCCATCTCAGCTGCTGTCTCCAGGCTCAACGCTCAGGAACCTTCCTGTCTCCTGGATCGCCTTCCCATCTCCCCATACCAGCCTCTGCCACGACGCTGAGAACCCACCCGCTAGTCCAGGGTCTCAAATGTGGTCCCCGCAGCAGCAGCAGCAATATTGCCTGAGAACTTGTCAGAGATGCAGATTCTCTAACCCATCTCAGACCTCCTGAATCAGGAGCCCTGGGGCGGGCCCCACTGTGCGCTTTAAGATGCCCCTGAGGTGATTCCTGCTGTCTGGAAGGCGCCTTCCCATCTCCCCATACCAGCCTCTGCCACGACGCTGAGAACCCACCCGCTAGTCCAGGGTCTCAAATGTGGTCCCCGCAGCAGCAGCAGCAATATTGCCTGAGAACTTGTCAGAGATGCAGATTCTCTAACCCATCTCAGACCTCCTGAATCAGGAGCCCTGGGGCGGGCCCCACTGTGCGCTTTAAGATGCCCCTGAGGTGATTGCTGCTGTCTGGAAGGTCCTTTAGATGCCTCTAAACTTGGAAGAATCACTGCTTTAATAAAGCACGGCATCCATTCATTCATTCATTCATACAGTCATTCATTCAACAAGGATTTACCAAGCAGTGGGTTTCCCTCCACTAGCTGCTGGGAAAGCAGATACGAAAGACCTGATTCCTGATTTCCAGGAGGTTTTTTTTGTTTTGTTTTTTCCTCATTTAGCAATCTATGCCTTTGGGGCGGGGGATAAGACTAGGGCAGGCTTAAGTTGCATGAGACTGTTTGGACTGTCTGGGAGTGGCCTTGTGGTCAGCCTGACGGAACTCGAGAAACCTCTCCCGCGACCCTGACCCGTTCCCTGTGTCCGAGGGCTCCCTCCTCGCAGGCCTGGGCAGTAGCTCTGAGGAGAACAAGGTCTTCCTCACACTGAACCAGAACCTCTGCATTCTGGCCTGCTTTTGTCTATCATGCGGCCGAGGAGGGTATCTGTGCCCCTCCCCCAGGAAGCTGTTGAGATCTCAGGCCCCCCCAAATCCTCTCTCCAGCAGGCCAAACACCCCAGCTCCCTCTGCTGTTCTCCAGGTGTCCCCAGCCCTCCCACCTTCCTGCCTGCCTGCCCTCAGGCGAAGCTGTCCGCTCACAGGTGAAGTCACCTGTGACCTGGGATTTAGATGTAAAGTCTGGGCTTTGGCCCCAATTTGCTGTGATCCAGTTACTCTGGAGAATTCCCCTAGAAGGTGCCTGGTAGAGACTGATGCCCGCCACCAGCTTCTCTCTGGGGTGGGCGGGTCCCAGCTCTGCGAGGGGCACCAGCTGGGGAGGGGGCTTGAGGCTGGAATCGGTGTCACGAGAGCCGTGGGAACTGAGGCCTGAGGTAGGAACAGCCGCATCTCCAGGGGCCCATTTCGCTGCCCGGGGTCCAGGACCGGGAGCAGAATGCTGGAACCACTTAGAGGACTGGCTGGCCTTCTCTCTTTTTGTTTTCCCTGAACGTATATGTCAGTTCACGTAAGTCAGCCATGCGTGTGCACGTGTGTGTGTGTGTGTGTGTGTGTGTGCGCGCGCGTGTGTGTGCGCGTGTGTACGTGTGTGTGTGTGTGGAACTGCACACAACCCTTCACAGTTGGCTCTGCAATCAGAGGAGCTCACTCAAAAGCTACCCAGTGGGACCCCGGTTCCTCGCTCAAAGCCCCCGCGTGGCTCCCTATTACTTCTCAGGTAGACGCCTCAGTCAGGAGTCGTGGTTTGCTTGGATCTGGCTAATGTGACCTCCCTCTGCCAGGGGTTCGTAATGGCCCCAGACTACTTGGAGACTCTGATGAAACTAGGGATTCTTGCCCAGGAAAATCCATGTATGAAACAATTTTGCAAACTGTTTCGGAGGACTTGAGGGCCCCCTCTTTGGGGACGCCGGGGTCAGAAGCCCCCCTCTGCTCCTATCACACCCTGGCTTGCTGCTGCCGACTTCAAGAGCAGTCTCCCCAAACCAGCACTAAGCTGGTCCCCATCTCCCAGCTTTTGTTCCCGCCGGTCTTCCTGCCCAGATGCCTCCCCTTCCACTGGCTTCATCCCTCCCAGCCTTCAGCCCACAGGGTCCTCTCCCCACCTTGGGCCCTCACACCTTAGCACCGTGTAGGATGGCTGATGGTGCCAGCAGAGGTGTCAGTGCCCTTGCCGGGTTGTAAACTCCTTGGAGGGAGATGCTAAGGACACCTCCAGCTACCGCTATGAATTGTCTACCATGGGTCAGGTATTCCGTTCTTCCAAGAATGCTGACTGCCCCTATTTCACAGAGGAAGAAAATGAGGTTCAGAGAGGTTAAGCAACCTGCCTAAAGTCAAATTAGAAGGAAAATGGTCATTTATATGAGATCTCTCATAATGATTTAGAGTCACTAGTAGGTCAAAGTCCAGTCCAGTGGTTGCCTGATGGGAGACTTTTGTTTTTGTTTTTGTTTTTGTGGTACGCGGGCCTCTCACCGCTGTGGCCTCTCCCGTTGCAGAGCACAGGCTCCGGACGTGCAAGGCTCAGTGGCCATGGCTCACGGGCCCAGCCACTCCGCGCGGCATGTGGGATCTTCCCGGACCAGGGCACGAACCTGCGTCCCCTGAATCGGCAGGCGGACTCTCAGCCACTGCGCCACCAGGGAAGCCCTTTTTTAACTTTTCGCTTTATTTTCCCTTAACAAAATGCATTCCCATTCCTTATACCTTTTAAACATTTTCCTTACATATGAAGATGTTTTCCTTATTTATTTTAGTAGTTTTATGGTATATTAATTAGAATTCTTAACCCTTAGAAAACTTAATTTCTACTGAAAACTAAGAAGTAAGCAATTGTGAACTGTTTGTTATACCAGTATTTTTAAAATACATTTCATAATGTATAATGTATAATAGACCCAAACATCTTTAGGTTTTTTTTTTTTTTTTTTTGTAATAAGAAGACAAAAGTAGGTAAACTTAGACTTGTTTAGCAATTAATATTTCAGTATTTTATCTTATTTTGAAATGATCTAGACATTCAATGAATTCTCATCATTTAACTTACCTTAGAAAAACTCTAAAGTTTTAAATTACCAAAAGATTTTCGAAGTTATTTTTAAGTCTTACCCCATTTATATCAATATTTATCTAAATAATTTGTTACCAACAATTATGTTTAGAGTACTCATGAAAACTTCATGAGACATTAAAGTCAACTATCATCCCAAGCTATTCTTCTTGCTGATAAACTTCGTAACAGACATAACGTGAACTTATTTGATTAGTAAACCCAGGTAGAATAAAAGTTTTATATTTAATGCTGATAACTCTAAAGACATGCCTATTTTAATTAAAACAGTAACTTTAAATTTGCTTTTATTTACTAAAGGTTAATCTTAGATCATGTGAACTCGAAAAATCTTTGGGTTAGTCTGTTATATTTAGAAATATTTAATTCAAAAGTGCTTACTTTTAAGCCAATTAGAGTCCTTCTACAAGTTACTTTTGGCAATGCCATCAGAAGGTAGAAAAATACCCTATCTATAAGATACATGCATAGATATGCAGACAGACACAACCAGAGGCCTCATAGCTTTCATTTTAAGACTTTAGTCATGAATCAGGTATAGCAATATAAAACTCACTAGTTCATAAACATCAGTTGCATTAAGTTTATCCACTCAGATGGCAAAGGCTTCTTACTATACGTGGAAAAGACGTTTAAGATTTGTATTTGTCCTTGACAAATAATATTAATTAAAGAAGCTGTGAATTAGATTTTGGGTGAGGGAGCACTTCCAGCAGTTAGTAATTTTTTTTTTTTTTTTTGGCTGCGTTGGGTCTTCGTTGCTACGCTCGGGCTTTCTCTAGTAGAGGCGAGTGGGCTTTCTCTAGTTGAGGCAAGCAGGGGCTACTCTTCGTCGTGGTGCACAGGCTTCTCATTGTAGTGGCTCCTCTTGTGGAGCATGGGCCTTACAGTGCGCGGGCTTCAGTAGTTCTGGTGCAGGGGCTCAGTAGTTGTGGCTCACGGGCTCAGTAGTTTTGGTGCACAGGCTTAGTTGCCCCGCGGCATGTGGGATCTTCCTGGACCAGGGCTCGAACCCGTGTCCCCTGCACTGGCATGCGGATTCTTAACCACTGTGCCACCAGGGAAGTCCAGTTAGTACTTTTGAAAAGATCTTTTTCCCTTTTTTTCCCCCCAGGTCCTACTGATAGATTCCCCAGGCTCAGTCTCAGGTGACTGTGGGCTGTGCTTACATTTCTGATTTTGTAGAGATTTACAAGACAAAGACAGTTGCTTTCAATTCCACAAAGAACTGGGCTACTGCCTAAATGATATCAAAAGGCTGATCTGCTCATCCAACCATATTTTCTTTAATTTGCTTCTTTATATCAGGGAGAAGATTTCCAATTAAAATGGAAATCAAAAGATTTCTATGTTTTAGAACTTCAGAGATCAATGCATCATGCCTTCAAAAAGTCTGCACAAGGTATTCAGTAAAGGCCCTCTTTATGAGTGCTCAAGTCAACCCCAGACCAATTCACCCGAGGGGCAAAAAGCCTCCACCATTGCTCCTATCAGGCCCCAGTATCGGCCCCCAGTTTTCATCTCACATTGTGTGGGCTCAGGCAACCCTACTGACTCTCGTTATCATGTCTAATTAACATTGCCCAAAGGGTGTATTTATGTGCCTTGTTTTACAATACCAAGCAGTGGAAACATTCCCCAGGGAGATGCAATGTCTACCCCGACAATACAATCAGGCAAAAGAGACATAACCACCTTACATAAAGCCCATTCAAACATTGCAATTTTCTTACAAGCTTTCACCTCAATTTCATCAACTCTTATACCTTTGACCATAGCCTCCATTAGGACCCCATCAATAAGTCTCTGTCTTACAAACACTGGGTGGGAGAAGTGTTCCTGGCCAGACATAACATCCATTCCCATAAAGCATTCCAGCAACGTTGTTTAAGCTCTTCATATAACACCCACTCAAACATTCTGACTTTTATAATCTTATCAACTCTTGTACTTTTTACTTTTCTCAATCTTGTTGTAGCCCAAGTCGGGGTTCCACTGATGGGTTTTGGTACCACAGCTTGTGAGGTTCTGGCATCAAGGAGTTCCAGAAACTTCTCTCCATCCCCCTGCCATCTCCCCACTCTTGTGTAAAAGGCTTTGGGTCTGCAGTGAGGGGTTGAGCTAAGGGACCCAGGCCCTTTTGTCAATCTTGAACTCAATTAATCGACCTAATTCTTGCCCCAAGTGATTGTTGGTTAGGTTTCACATTGTAATTTTTGCCTTCCAGTTTAAAAAATTTCTCCAAACTGAAGTAAGTAGAGAGGACTTGTTTGGGGCCCTTTAATGTTTTGGGGACCAAAGAGCGTCCCTTTGGCCCACCTAATCTTAGACAGTGCTGTATTAGAAACCTTTCTTTTAATCCCATCAATGTCCATTTTACTTATCCCATTCCTTAATAGCCATCTGAAGATTTCCATCCTGCTGGGACAAGTCCCGTGAGTCTTTCTGATTCCTCTTTATTCTGCAACTTTCAATATTTGCTTTATTTACCTTCTTAACAACCCTTTAACACTTTCTACCTTTTGGGGAAGAGTACCTTGACTTTCCCCTTGGTTTCCTCCCATTCTCTTGTTAATTAACTGAATGCTTTTATTAGCATCTGTAAGACCCATGAGGGGAAGCTGAGACACCAAATTTGATCAGGTTTCCCAAATGTCTTTTGTTTTGTTTTGTTTTTTAATTAAGGGAGTTATTAGGGTTAGCCATTATATTTTTTTTGTTTCCACCTTTTAATTTGGTCTTTCCACAGGTGCCAATAAAACATCTGTTTACAATGAGAGTTCTCTAAAAAAGTTACCAATTTAGAAGTTTTTCCAATTCGAAGGATCCATCATCTGCTATTGACGAATAGTATCTTAATAGCAACACAAACCAATAAGTCTTTTTATGCCTTAACCGTGGATGAAAGAGGCATCCCACAAGCACGTAAAGGACACAGCCCTAACAAGATCCAGAAATTTCACTCCCCAAAATAGCCTAAGAAAGTGGAGACTTTTGTTGCATCACGAATAAAGCAACAAAGGTTGAACAACAAAGGCCCCTTATGGACTGGACCCTTTATGACAAACTCCCCTGAGAGCTGGCATGGACACACAAAGAGACACCAGTCAGAAGCCTGGGTTGTTACCCGGGCTTCTGACCAGTTGGCTACAGCTGCTTGGAATCCCAGTCTATCTGACTGCAAAATGCATACCAGTATGTGTACCCTTCTGATGGCAGAGACCAGAGAGAGTTTTCTCACTGGTCAGCAAACCAAGCTCTTCAGGATTTATAATAAGATGGAAGGAAAAAACTC